CCACAGTAAGCTTACTGTACATTTCTTTGTAATTAATAATTTGCAGAGAAATATTGGGACTATATAATATTGTTTCTCCTTAAACTTTCACCTAATATTTTTAGCATTCCTTGATGATCCTTGCCTGGACTAGTATCTGGACAAGTATCCAGATCAGATACCTGGACTAGTATCTGATGATGGTTGCCAGGTGTTGATTTCTCATTCCACCATTCTACATTTACGGAATAGCTTTCTACTGTAAGAGTTTATATTATTTTCTTTCTTCCTTCTTCATTCCTTCACATCTTTTTTTTTAAAAGATTTTATTGGGGAATTGGGTGAGGGAACAGCACTGGGGAATCAGGAAAGGGGAACAGACAAGTTGCTGTCCTTTAGTTCTTTAGTCTAGTTGTGGAGGACGTCGCTTCACTGGCCCATGTTGGTATTATCATTGCGCGCTTCTGGATGGGGCAGTTGCTCGCCAGCCATTGTACAGCCGCTCATGGTGGCTCACTGCAGCTCAGCTCCAGGTCGAGCTGTTGTTCACCATCTTAGCTGTAGAGGGCGCAGCGTCACTGGCCCTCATATGTGAGATCCGAACTGGGGTCCGGCTGAGCTGGTGTTCCGAGCCAACTCTTAACCAATGCACCACTCGGCCGGCCCCACATCTTTCTTCATATTACATTATAAACATTTTGATGTTCAGATTCTTCAAATTTGCTCCTCCCTTCTTCAGTGTGTTTATGTTACTAAATGAAATATAGTTTGGTTTGTTTTTGCTTTAGAATTTTATGTTTCCCCCCTTTTTTTTTTTTAGCATGTGAAACATTAATATGGTTCTAATAGTCAAAACCCTATAAAAGGGATGATCAGAGGAATGTACTGTGTGCATTTTAAACCTGGCAGATGTCTGGACATAGAGCAGCCTGATGGTGGATAGCGCAGAATTGAAATCAGTTGGGCAAACCTGTGCTCACATCCATTTTTGCCATGTATAGCTTTCTGACCTCAGGCAACTCACTTAACCTCTTGAAGACTTCACTTGTAAATATGAAAATTGGGAAACAAATAGTGTTACATGAGAGGAATGAAGATTAATTGCATGTTGAACACACAGCCCAATGCCTGGGAAATAATTACTAGATAAATATTTATTAACAATATTAATATCTAATAAATATTTTGTAATGAAATTACAAGAGTTCTTAAACATATATGCTAAAGAATGTTAGTCTATGACCCATTTTCATGCTTTTTCTATGCAGAGCCCAGTATAATTCTTGGGAACAAAGATTACTCATCAAGTCTTTGTAAATTGTCGAAGTAAACCTATGGATGAATTTTGTTCAATAATTTAAGATTTAACAGATTAATTTTAATGATTTAAAATATTTTCAGGTGGTGTTCATTGGCTTTATTTGTTACATCTTATGGACGTGGAGAGTGATAAATTGAAGTAATGCATATCTATCTATATATACACAAGAATGCTGAAAAATTAGAATTAGCTGCTCTATGATATTGCTCTACTACCAACAATCTGGTTTGCTCATTTGATATTAGATTGAACAGACATACCCATGAGCTGTTAACTCTGTCAATATCCTTTTGAGAAGCACGAGGAAATCATTAGAGACCAATACTGCTGATATAAGGAAACCTTGGTATATACAAGTATGATGTATTCTCAGTAAGAATGATATTGACCACTAGGCAGGGCTTGTATGTTGTAGAATTAAAAAAAAAACACAACTACTTTTTGTGCATAAAGCACAGATATAAATACAATACATGAACAAATATAGTTCATCTCTGGTATTAAAATTTCACAGGGTCGGGGATCAGGTTAAAAGAAAGTCTAACAAGTCTCTTTAAGGAGGCTAAGAAAGTTAAGAAATATTGGCATCAATATTGGTAAAAAATCATCTGTCAATAAAAAGCACTTTCTAGGTGGCCACTATTATTCTAAGTACTTATAAATACTTTTATTTAACCCTGGGGAAATTTTAGGTAAATTCTATCCAGATTCACAATAGATAAATAATTTAAACAGTCATAGAGAAGTAAAGCTTTTACATAGGGTTGCATGGATAGTAAGATCTAGGATTTTAAGGAATTCTGGCTGAAGAGTCCATGCTTTCTACTGCTACATACTTGTCTACAGTGATCTATATGCTATGTTTGATTACAGATTTTCCAAACATATTGATAGTCTCTGAATTTTATCAGACTCCTTCTGAGGAGCATGAGTGAATACTAAGGATTAAATGTGGGGAGAAGTTAGGAAGGGCTCTCCCATCAATAATTCAAAAGGGACCAGCCTTTCACTAAGTGGGATTTTACCTGTGAGGTATTATAACTGCAGGGTCCTCAAATGGCTATGAATCTTATCTCCTTCAGATTTTCTCACCATCAGCCAAGGCTTTTCATAATACTCCAACTGGTTTTTCAGATATTGTTTGAAAGGTTGATTCCCTGAGCATTATAATCATCATAAGGTTTGGGTGATTGTATGAGAGATGAAAATCATCTGTTGTTTTAATGACCAATAACATGATACTCCCAATTTTCCTGTAGCAAAACAATCACCAAGGGCTAGCAAAATCAACACAAGGCCATCTCACTAATATCTTCACTCCTTAGCTTCATGCACAAGAAAGTGTGGTCATGTAATAAGTTCTGACCAATGGAATCAACAGAATCATGAAGAACCAGAAAATCTAAACCAACCAATAAAAAGGAGATTGTATCAGTCATCAAAAATATCCCAAGAAATAAAAGCCCAGGACCAGATGGCTTTACTGATTAATTCTACCAAACATTTAAGAACTAATCCAGCCCTTCTCAAACTCTTCCAAAAGATCGAAGAGGACATTTCCAAACTCATTTAATGAGGCTAGCATTACCCTCATACCAGAGCCAGATGGGGACAAGAAAAGACAATTACAGGCCAATATGTCTGATGAATATAGATGCAAAAATCCTCAACAAAGTTCTAGCAAACAAAATACAACAGCACATTAAAAAGACTGTACACCACAATCAAATGGGATTTACCCCTGTGGTGCAAAGATGGTTCAACATATGCAAATCAATGTGATACACCACAGTAGCATGATAAAGGATAAAAATCATATGATCATCTTAGTAGATATAGAGAAAGCATTTGACAAAATCAATATCCTTTTATGATGAAAAGTCACAGCAAATTAGGTATAAAAGGAATGTTCCTCATAATCATAAAAGCCATATAATGGCAAGCCCACAGCTAACATAACTCAACAGTGAAAAAGCTCTAAGTTTTTCCTCTACGATCAGGAATAAGACAAGGATGTCCATTCTCACCACTTCTATTCAACAATACTGGAAGACCTAACCAGAGCAATTAGTCAAGAAAAAGAAAAAAAAAGACACCCGAATCAGAAAGAAAGAAGTAACTTTGTCTCTGTTTCCAGATGACATGATCTTATATATAGAAAACCCTAATAATGCCACCAAAATTGTTAGAACTTATAAACAAATTCAGTAGTTAGGATACAAAATCAACATACAAAATTCAGTTGCATTTCTATACATTAACGACAAATCAGAAAGAGAAATTAAGAAAACAATCCCATTTACAATAGCATCAAAACAATATATTTAGGAATAAGTTTAAACAAGGTAAAAAACATGTCCACTGAAAACTTTAAGACATTGATAAAATAAATTGAAGAAGACACAAATAAATGGAATGATATCTCATGTTCACAGATCAGCAGAATTAATATTGTTAAAAATGTCCATACTACCCAAAGCTACCTAGAGATTAAATGTAATTTCTATCAAAATTCCAATGGCATTTTTCACACAAATAGAAAAAAAAAATCCAAAAAATTCATGTGGAACGAAAAAAGACCCCAAATAGCCAAAGCAATCTTGAGAAATAAGAAGAAAGCTGGAGGCATCACACTTCCTGATTTCAAACTATGTTACAAAGATACAGTAATCAAAATGGTACAGTACTGGCATAAAAGCAGATACACAGACCAATGGAATAGAAAGCCCAGGAATAAACCCATGCATATATGATCAACTGATCTTTAACAAGAACACATAATGGAGAAAGGAATAGTCTCTTCAAGAAATGGTGCTGAGAAAATGACATCCATATGAAATAGGACTCTTATCACACCATCCACAAAAGTCAACTCAAAATGGATTAAGATTTAAATATAAGACTTGAAATTGTAAAATTCTTAGAAGAAAAACTAAAGAAAGTCTCTTTGACATTGGTCTTGGCAATAATTTCATGGATAAGACACCAAAAGCCCATGAAACAAAACCAAAAGTAAGTGGGATTATATCAAACTAAAACACTTCTGCACAGTAAAGGAAGTAATCAACAGAGTGGAAAGGCAACCTACAGAATGGGAGAAAACATTTGCAAATCATATCTGATAAAGGGTTAATCTCCAAAAAATATAAGAAAGTCTTACAGCTCAACAATTAAAAAAAAACCCTAATAATCCAATTTTGAAAATGAGGTGTCTAAAGTACTGAAATTCATAGAAATACAAAGTAGAATGGTGGTTGCCAGGGGCTGGGAAGAGGAGAAAATGGGAAGTTACTAATCTATGGGCATAAAGTTAAACAAGATGGATAAGTTCCAGTGATCTGTTATACAACATTATACCTATAGTCAACAATGATGTATTGTGACCTTGGATTAGGCAGAATTCTTATATCTGAAACCAAAAGCACAATCCATGGAAGACAAAAATTAAACTTCATCAAAAATTTTAAAAACTCCATCTGTGAAAAATACTGTTAATGGAATAAAAAAACACAATTTACACACAGGGATAAAATATTTGTAAACACATAACTGACAAAGGACATGTATCCAGAACACTAAAAGAATTCTCAAAAATCAAGAACAAGAGAGTTCACAAAGAAAATAGGTATATGGATAGCAAATATTCATATATAAAGATGCTCAACATAGTCCTTAGGAAAATATAAATTAAAACCAAAATGAGATACCACTATAAACCTACTGAAATGCTAAAAACAAAACTCTGACATGCACTGATGGTGGGAATGCAAAATGGTATGTCCATTTTAGAAAAGTGTGTCAGTTTTTCATAAAGTTAAACATACCCTTACCATACAACCTAGCAATCCCACTCTTAAGTATTTACTAAGACAAAGAAAACTTATGTTGACACACAAAACTGTATGTGAATGTTTATGGCTGCTTTCTTCATAACAGCTAAAAACTGGAAACCCTTCAAATCATAAGTGGATAAACAAAATATGGTACATCATACAACAATACCATTCAGCAATAAAAGGAATGACTACTGATACATACATCAAAATTGATGAATCTCAGAAACATTAAGTGAAAGAAGCCAGACTCCAAAGGTTACATACTGTATGATTCCATTTATATGACATTCTGGAAAAGGCCAACAATACAGACAGAAAACAGATTGGTGGTTGTTAAGGGTGTAGGGGATGTGATGGGGAAAGGAGTCACTACAAAAATACAAAAGAATTTCAGGGTGGGAGGTGGGTGATGGAACTGTTAAATGTCTTGTGATGGTGATAATATGATAGTAAGCATTTGCCCAAACACAAAATGATACACTGAAGAGTTGATTTACTACATATAAATTATTCCATAATTAAAAAAAGAGAATGTTAGCTTGTAAGAATTTTATAGATGCCTTTTATATCACTGAGGACTTACTTTTTATCATGAAGTGATGTTTTGTCAAAAGCTTTCTCTCAATCTATTGAGATGATCATGTATTTGATCAAAATAATCCAGACATAAAAGAGTACATACTGAACCCACATGAGGCTCAAGGTCAGACCTACCTAATCTATCGCATAGAAATCACAATACTTGCTGTTGCCACTGGAGGTGGCATTGACTGGAAATGTGCACCAAAAAAAGTTCTGGTTTAATGGAAATGTTGTATATACGTACTGGTCTTGGTGATGATTACACAAGTGTACACCTTTGTCGAAATTCATGAAGTTGTAAACATTGAGACTTTTATGCATGTTACTGCATGCAAATTATACCTCAGTTGTTAGCAAACAACCCGTTGAATTGGTCACAACCTGCTGAATTGACTTTGGACCCACTAACAGATTACAACCTTCAGTTTGATAAAGTTTAGTTTACAAGACCTGCAGGTTGGGAAAATGAGCTCATGCATCTAATTTAAATGTCCTCCAAGCCTTGCGGAATTCCTCTTCTAAGTACAATCTTATAGAAATAGCTGGAGATGAAGTGAATAAAAATTTGAAATATGACTGTCTTCTCTTTAACTCATTTAACAACTACTGAACATCTACAATGTGTTAGGCACTGAAAGGCAGAGTATATTTGGCAGTCAACAAAGTCGTTATCCTCTTGCGCTTATGATAGTGGACTAGATCATGGCATTTCCATCTTAATACTTTTGGCTAACTCCAGATCAGACTCATCCTTCCTTCTTAGTCTCTCCTCCATGTAATATGTGCTGAATGTCAAGGTTCTGCTTGAAGTCCTTATATCTCCACTCTCACGAGGCTTCCCTGCTGTGTGGTCACCCAACCACTATGACATGTCACACTCTGGCTGAAATACTGACATAAAACAAATATTTCATCTTCTATGACAGGCCTGATAATTGGACTATTTCAGCACCCATCTGAGGTATTAAAACATATAACTTTATAGAGTTTATTTCCTGTATGAATTCTCTGATGAGGGAAAGTCCTTCTTACCGTCATCATCAGCATGGATTCGCTGATGAATTATAAGACTTGAGCTCCAACTGAAACCCTTCCCACACTCCTCACATTTGTAAGGTTTTTCTCCAGTGTGAACTCTCTGATGGGCTTGAAGGTATGAGCTCCAACTAAAGACCTTACCACATTCCTCACATTTATATGGTTTCTCTCCAGTATGGACTCTCTGGTGGGCTTGAAGGTATGATCTCTGTCTAAAACGCTTACCACACACATCACATCGGTATGGTTTCTCTCCCGTGTGGACTCCACGGTGAGCGAGGAAATTTGAAGCCCGACAGAAGCCCTTCCCACATTCCTCACATTGATATGGTTTCTCTCCAGTATGGCACCGCTGATGGGCTTGAAGCTGTGAACCCACACTGAAGCCTTTCCCGCAGTCTGCACACTGATATGGTTTCTCTCCCGTGTGGACTCTTTGATGCACTTGAAGACTTGAGAACTGACTGAAGGCCTTACCACACTTCTCACATTTATAAGGTTTCTCACCTGTGTGGATTCTACAATGAACGTTCAGATCTGAACTCCGACTGAAGCCCTTCCCACATGTACCGCATTTGTATGGTTTTTCTCCAGTGTGGCCTCTTTGATGGGCCAGAAGATTTGAGGCCTGACTGAAGCCCTTCCCACACTCCTCACATTTATAGGGTTTCTCTCCTGTATGGACTCTAAAATGAATGTTAAAATCTGAGCTACGACTGAAGCCCTTCCCACATGCATCACACTGATATGGTTTCTCACCAGTATGGCCTCTCTGATGGTCCAGAAGATTTGAGGCCCGACAGAAGCCCTTGCCACACTCCTCACATTTGTATGGTTTCTCTCCAGTGTGGCTTATCTGGTGGGCTTGAAGGTGTGAACCCACACTGAAGCCTTTCCCACACTCCTCACATTTATAGGGTTTCTCTCCGGTATGGATTCTACAATGAATATTAAGGTGTGAGCTATAACTAAAGCCCTTGCCACATGCATCGCATTTGTATGGTTTCTCTCCAGTGTGGATCCGCTGATGAGCCTGTAGTCGTGAACGCCAGCTGAAGCCCTTCCCACACTCTTCACATTTATAAGGTTTCTTCCCCATGTGGACTCTCTGATGGACTTGAAGATATGAGCTCTGACTGAAACCCAGCCCACACTCCTCACATTTATAGGGTTTCGCTAACGTGTGGATTATCAGAGGAGCGTGACAATGTGAGCTTTTCCCGATGTTCTTCTCACACCCCTCAAATTTGTGTGAATTCTCTCCAGTGGTAACCCTCTGACGATGACTAAGATATGACCTCTGACTGAAACTTTTACACGATGTATCATATTTGTATGATTTCTCTCTACTGTGGACTCTCTCATGGGCTTGAAGACTTGAAAACCGACGGAAGGTGTTTTCACATTTTTCACATTTATAGGGCTTCTCTCCTGCATGGGCCATCTGGTTAATTTGAAGATGAAAGTCCCGAATGAAACCTTTCTCACACTCCTCCCCTTTGTAAGGTTTTTCTGCAGTGTGTACTCTGTGGGGAACCTGAAGATGTGAACTCAGATTAAAGCCTTTAGCAAGTTCCTCAAATTTATAGAGTGCATCACCTTGTTTTTCCAACTGTGAGCCAGTTTCTTGAGTATTTACTATGGAATCTTGACATCTGGTTAACTCATTAGTGATCTGTTGCCAAATCTGTGAGCAGAAAAGCTCTTCAAGTGACAGGTACCTTAATCCAACTTCTCGAACAATCTTCATATCATTTAGATTCTTGTCTCCTAAGAGGATAGAGAATTTGGAGACGGGGCATGTGAATGCTTTGTTCAGAAATGTCAAGGTTATAAACTTAGACCTATACCCTCAGGCTTTAATGAACCAGAACAAAGTTCCATTTTGATCATGTATCATGTTCTGTGATTTACATGCCTCCCAAAACCAAGGCCCCCACTCACTATACATTAACGAGACCCATTCAGAATCATACTAAATTTCATTAGAGAGCTACAGGTTAGAAATTTGGTGGCTGCACAGCAAGAAAAATATTTCCTAGAGAATCTTTACAGTGACCAAGCTGAACCTTACTCGTTTGCTGCAGCAGGTGTCTGACAAATACCTTCCACATAATTCTGCCTACTGCAGACACATCTGACCAAAATGCTCAAAATATCTAGTAAAATCCTTACACTTGAGTCCTGCTCAAAATGTCTAGTAAAATTCTTACAAACAGATTATCAGAAGATGTCCCCAGGCAATGTTGAAAACCTTTGCTTTGAATTATTTTATTGGAAGTTTACTCCAATGTTACGAGCCTTTGAGGCACCAGGCTGGTTGGAAAGACACATTTGGGAGAAAATATCTTATCACCCAAGAGTCTAAAGTTCAGAGTATAAGCAGACAGTGGTGCTTCACCTCCTGTTGGGAAATAGACTTCAGGAGTACAACTAGAGCAAGAACTTGTGAGGAGGAAATAAATAGGACAAAATATAGATTCTCAAAGTCAACACCGGACAGGAAGAGTTATGTTCTCCTTGGAACTCTGTTCTACCAATTAGCCAGACAGCTTGCTACTTACTTTTCAGGTCTTTCTTCAAATAACACCTTACTAGTGAGACTTTTTACCATCCAGTATCAAATAGTAAATTCTCTATCTACTATACACCTCTGGCAATCTCTATTCACCTTACCCTGCTTTGTTTTTACACAACACATATTACCATGTGACATGCTATGTCCTGTATCTTTTTTTGAATGCAATATCCACAAGGACGAGCATTTTATACTATTCACTGCTTTATCACCATTCCCAGGACACTGCCTGACAGTCAGTGTTCAATAAATATATGTTTAATGGGTATGTAGATCCCAGTTTGACTTCTTTGTGAGAGTTTGAGCTGTGTTACAAAAATAAAAGAGCTTTTTCAAGTAAGTTACCCATAATAGGAAAGGGTCTGGAAAGAGCAATTTTGCTGGGAAGCTGAAAGACTTCACCAGATACAGGGCTAAACTAAGTGGATGTTGCTGATGAGAAAATCATGCTGATCAGAAATCATGGTAAGGAGGGGGGAAAAAAAAGCATAAGTCATAAAAGTAGCCAGAGGGCCTATGGATTGATTACTTCTGGAATTTTTGTACTTCCTTTATCTGTGCCTAAAAAGTTTTTCCTTTTTCTAGTAGGAGTCAATATTTAGAGGCTCAGGAATGTCTGTGAAAACAGACTGCCAAATTGATGGATATAGATATATTTTCCTATATGGATCACACCACTGTTTTTCAAGAGGAAGGCTGGGATTCAGTGAGTTTAAAATAAATTTAGTAGCTTGTGACAAGCATTAACAGAATAGAAAAATATCAAAAGTGCTTTGTAAGTAGTAAAGGTATCTCTGTATAAAATGGTTATTAGAATCTTCATTCTAAAAAGCAGTTCTCTACCAAGAGAGTGTGATTCACCACTAAGGCTGCAGGAAAGCCACAAGGGGAAAATGATATCGGTTTGGTTATAAGTGCAAAGCTAAGCTTGCATTAGATATGGTGTAATGGATACACATCTACATATATCCAAAAGCACCTAATAAATTAAAATTAGACACTCATTGGGGAGAAAAAGCTACTCTAGACTATGCCTTCATCACACATTTTTGATTAGCACCCTTAACTCTTTTGTTGTGATGTTTGGATATATCTGAATGAATAACTACATCCACTGATTGTGGTATCAGAAAAATTTTCCCTCTACTGCAGAGTTCGAGTATATATGCATAAAAAAGTCAAAATATCAACTTTCTATTTTTTGTGGATTTTTGACACATTTTGAAAAAAAAATTCAATTAATGCAGTGAAGAGGTTATGGATCTCCAGAACTAACAGAAAAAAGTGCATGTAGCCATTATTAACTCATTCATTCATTTAACAAATATTTATAGTGCACCTGCCCTCTTCCAAGTCTGTTTTTTTGTACACTGAAAATATAGCAATAAAGAAAAGAAACAGAATTTTTCCTTTCCTGAGATAATATTCCAGTGGGAATATAGTTAAATAAAACTATATGTTAATATGTTAAATGGTGATCAATGCTTAGACACCAACTACAACAGGGTAAGAGAAAGGAGTGCAGAGGAAGAAGAAGGTATTATGAACAGAGGGTATTATGAGAGGCCTTTTTTCCCTCTCTTCTTTTTTTTTTTTACACTTTATTTATTTTGACATTCAATATTATTTTATATTAATGTCAGGTGTACAAGAGGCCTTTCTTATGACGTTACATTTGAGAAAAGACCTACGTGACGTAAGGGAGGGGCCAAGAGGATGACAGGGAAACGGTACTCCCGACAGACAAAAGAACAAGGAGGGTGATGCGGCAGAAGCCTGCTTGGCACAGCAAAAAGGCAAAACTGGATGGAATGGACTGACAAGGGGGAAAGTGGCAGGTCATGTTTATAGAAGGATGGAGGATCAGGGCCCAGCAGCCACACAGAATAGCATAAGCCACTTTAAATACTTGGATTTTACTCTGAATCAGGTAAGAAGCTACTAGAGCAGCGGTTCTCAACCTGTGGGTCGCGACCCCTTTGGGGGTCGAACGACCCTTTCACAGGGGTTGCCGGGTACTCGTATGTGGGCATATCTGCATGTGGGCCTGGAGACGGATAGAGGAGCGGTGTCTTGGTTCCTAAGACCATCGAAAATATGTGTTTTCCGATGGTCTTAGGCGACCCCTGTGAAAGGTTGAGAACCGCTGCACTAGAGGCTTTGAGCAGAGGACTCACAGGATCTGACACACATTTACAAGAATCACTTGGAGTGGGGAATTCATTGGGAAAGAGCAAAACAGGAGAGAGAGTGATGCAAAGACTCCTGCAGTAATCCACAGGCGAGGCAGTGATTTAGTCCAGAGTCATATACAGCAGTGGAGGTGACAGGCAGCAGGATGGACTCGGGCGCACAGCTCTCACCTGAGGAGCTGTGGCTCTGGCTTGCTGTCTTTATCATCCAAAGCTTTTCTTCTCTCTCTAACTGGGGGATTACATCTGGTGTGAAGGGCTGATGCCCTGTGAAAACGTAAGGACAAGCATTTAAAGTTAATATATTAGAGGCCAAAATTACTAAAAATTATGGATTCTCACTGCATCATCTTTAGGACATCAAAATCAGTGTCACAACTGTCGATTATGACCCATCAAGGAAATACATTTTATGGAAAAACCCCAGGATATAGAGACATAAGTATGAATTACTGGGAAAAAAAATGTGTATTTTCGTTACACCTTCTCCACCATTTCTCACACTCTTCTTGGCAATAGGCTGCAGTTTTTGCTGCCAGGTGCAGTTATTGCCAAGGGCTCTGATACTTTCCACTCTATTTTATTTCATTAAAAAATGCTGGTACAATTCCCAGAATGGGTGTCATGACCCATTAATTGAAAATGATCACAATTTGCAAAAGACAAAAGTAGTACAGCAGTCATGCTGTCAATTTACAGTTCATTTACAAAACACATACTTTAGCAGGGGAGGAAGACCAGCAAAATGCCATCTCTGTGTCCCATGCTGCGTAGAATACTGGCAACCAATTCAAGCACTCCACAGCCCCACACATGCAAGGACACATAAACACCATAGGGGGCTGTAGTTCAGTCCCAGAGCACCTGTCCTCACCCACTGAGACAAGGTTCCTGAAGTTCTCCAGCATCACGTCTCGATACAGCTTCCTCTGGGAGGAGTCCAGCAGCCCCAGCTCCTCCTCGGTGAAGACCACAGCCACGTCCTTGAACGTCACCGCCTCCTACAACACCAAACACACTCCCCCTAAATCTTGCAACAAAGGTCCAGTGGGAGAAGGGCAGCACTGAGAAAAGCGGAAAGAATGTGCACAAAGTGGTTCCAGATTCTAAGAGACCAGAGTCAATGTTACTATGATATAGTTAAACATTCCAAATAATACATATTCTGTTTTAAATTTTTTTCTTTTCATAATAAATGTTGAAAAGAATAACTTTTTACATAGATATGAGTGCCCGTCTAATTACAGTAATACCTTGGTTTGCGAGTATAATTCGTTCTGGAAACAAACTACTCGTATCGCAAGACATCGCTCGTTTACCACATTAAAATGTATTAGAAATGTTTGCTCGTCTTGAGGAACACTCACAAACCACGTCACTCACAATCCAAGGTTTTACTGTACTTTCTTTGGACCAAAGTTCCAAAAAGTGAAATTACAATGTCAAAGAATATGCAACTTCAAAATTATGTACAATGACAGATTTTCTTTTCAACTTTTTCCCTGTTTTATCCTCCCCCCCCCAAGAGAATATTAGCATTCCTGATTCTCCATACCATATACAACACTAAATATAACCAATGTTTTTATATCCTGATAATCTGATCAGTAAAAACAACTTACTGGAGTTATCTGTATACTTATAATTAATAAGCTCATATTTTCAGATATTTACTGGCCATCTTTACTTTTGCTTCAGTACCTTGTCAGTTAATGTTCTTTGCTCATACTCCAGTTGGGGTTTTATCACATGACTCTGTAAAACTTC